AAAGTAAAGGATGTAAAAAGGCAGTAAAAAGAACATGACCAAAAAAAAAATCCCAGAAGAAATTAACAAAAAACTATCTTAATGATAGAGGCACCAATGTGTGTTTGTGTGTGTGTGTGTGTGTGTGTGTTTATCAATGTGTCCATAAGCACGACATAATGTCAGCAGAAAAAGAAAGCATGCCAGAGAGGTAACATGAGAGTGAGAGATACGGTAAAAAAGAGAGACAAAGAAAATGAAAGAGAGAGAGAGAGAGAAAAAGAAATGGGAAGTGAAAGTAACAAAAGGATAGAGAAAACGTAGTAACATCGATATGCTGTAAACATTTAACTGGTTTCTTGAAAATCTTTCAGCACCTAAAAGAAGTCTCCTGATTTAAATAATGAAATTAAGAGATAAGACAAGATGAGTTAGGATGAGATGAGATGAGATGAGATGAGACGAGACGAGACGGGATGAGACGAGACGGGATGAGACGAGACGGGATGAAATGAGATAAGATGAGATGAGACGGGATGAGATAAAATGAGATAAGATGAGATGAGACGGGATGAGATAAAATGATAGTGCCTAACTGCTACTCCACAGATGTCGGAGAAACGGAACATCAACAAGCTACAACTGCCTGTCTTACTTTAGACACAATATCTCTAACAGCGTAAAACTTTTCAGTGATGTCTCCTGCTTCGGTGATGGGGGCGTCATAGTCGTAGCTGGTGGGCACAGGCTGGTATGGCGGACTGTTAGCACCTATAAAGGAAAGAAAAGAACATTTTTTAAAAAGTTACAACTTTATCAACTAAACATGAAAGCATACCCTCTATCCCTGGATTTCATAGAGAAGGTAAGCTAGAATTAACTAACCTCTCTGGGGGGATACCCACCATTGATCACCCATCTAAAGGCCATTTCAACGATATTGCTTGATAGTATTTGTGACCCTGAACTGACTAACCACACAGCCTATAGTTCCCCCAAATTCACGATGCCAGCAACATTCTGTCCCAATTCTCTTAGTCCAGACCTTTCATAAGTCTTCCTTACCCGCAACTGAGCTAACGGAAAGCCCGGGCATGAAATTAGGTATTTCGACAAAAGCACATTGTTTCTAGATGGCACAATCCTACAATGTGTCAGAAAGTCTCTCCGTTTAACACACTACCTCGTGAAATGCATCCTTTGGCCAGAATTACTCAAATACATAATTGTCATAAGAATATATATCGAAGATGTGGTGCTCTTGCTGTGTGACTGCTGAAATAAAAAAGTCAACTCGTATTTTATTCTTACACCATACTGCTTCCAACTCAAAAGATGCACTAAATTCCCTGAGTAGAGGAGAACAAGTCACTATCTTTTACCAGAGAACACAACACATCCCACTGAAATCCTACCTAAATAGGATCCGCAAGGATACCTCACCTGACTGCCTGTTGTGTGACTGCCAGGATGAAACAGTGTCACACCACCTCTTTACCTGCCCTGCACTGAGCGACTTGTGTAGCACCTACCTTTCTTCCTTCTCATATATTAGAAATACTTTATACAGCGACAAAACACAGCTGATAAAGACCTGTAAATTCTTTACTATATCGACAGGCCAAAGGGATAGAACCCAGAAGGCCGCTGGGTCGGAAAAGTAAAGTAAAAATAAAGTTATTCTTATACCATTTGCCCTGTTCCACTGCCGGTCATCAATAAAATCTCTTCCCCTGGACAAGGTTAGCAATCCATTATAACTTGTCAATATATGAATTAACTCTTTCAACCCCATCGGACGCTCATCGGACGCTGGGAGCGTCCAGCAGTAATAACCCTCTTCCCCATCGGACGCTGATACCAGTGACAACAGTTTCGTTTCATTTAGTGCTAGTCTTTGCTTGTTTTTTTAAAACTATTCTTGCACCAAGTTTATTAATAATGACTAAGCCTTTGTTTCTGCCATTTAGAAGTTAGAGGCAAGCTTTTGGGGTTATAATGAGACATAGCAAAACAGGTTTAGGTGACTGTAGAAAAAAACTGCGGGAAACGGTGGACATAACTCAGGGTCTAAGAATTAAATCTTCTTGAAATGAGTTTTGAGCAGGGAACATTTCTTCCCTTAGAAATGTTTCCCAGAAACCAGTTACACAGTTACAGCACAAATACAAACGATAAGGTCTTAGTTAGTTTTAGCAAGGTCTTATGGTGCTCACAAATGCATAAGGTCATATGAGCCACAAGGGATGGATGTCAACAGAGAAGTCCAAATGGGGAATCAGGCTTACTCTGCTCACCTCTCTATCCTCAACAGCACCAAGTCTGCTTCAACTATCAAGGCACCCCGGAAATAGCAGTTCACAAGAGAGTGACAAACATACAAAAGAAGTAGGGGAAAAATGACGATAGTAAGGACGAGGTA